CATGTAGCGAGGGATTTTGAAAGAAACATCTGTGCCGATATGCCATTCTTTTGCTTTTGCCACATATCTGGCCGCGACGAGTGGTCGGATGTTTCTCAGGGTTCTTCGGGCTGCTCTGGCCGACTCAATCACCATGGGAGCTTTGCCACATGCTATCTGTGTGATAGTGATAAATTCTGAAGTGTATTCGTTGTTCCATTTCTTCAGCTTCTCTGTTTGTGACAATACTACCGCCGCTTCCTTCTCTAGGAGGTTGCGTTCAAATTCCTCCTCCATTTCCATTTGTTCCTTGTTCAGATCCTTTCTTTTCTGAGTCTTGCTTACTTTTCTCGTCTTGGGTTGAAGATCTTGGAAGTCGTCTTTGGTTGTGGGGATGGTTTTGTCCTTATCCTCTGTCCCTTGGTCTCTTGCCCTTTCTTTTCTGCGTATCTAAAGGCCGCATACTCAAAAAATTCTTCTGTTTTTTCCTTTCTAAGCATTTCAAACTGGTTGGAGGAGTTGTCGATCCCTGTAATGGTACCTTTCCTTCCATTCACCTGGGGCCTCTCTGCATGTTTCAGGCAGGCTACACGGATATCGAAGGCGTGCTCACGTTCCCTCTTTGCCTTTTCCACATACTCCCTGAGCCATGTCAGGGATCACCGGGATCGATCGTCCTCCTCTATAGAGGCAGCATCTGTTGTGCTGTTCTTTCCCTCTATTTCCTCGTCTGCTTCGCCTTCCGCCACATCTGAGTCCACAACATCTTCCCCTTTCGTGGCTCCCATCATTTCCACTTCCTTTCCCTTTCCACATTCCTCTGCTCTCCTTCTCTTTGGGCCCTACTTCCTTCTCCAGCTGGCTGCAAATACTGTGTAGTGACCGTTTATTCTCAGTTTGTGCCTTATCCCTTTTTTTTTTTTTTTTTTTTGTGCAGTTGGGCTTGTTTTAGTGCTTCCCTGAATGTCACCGGGTCTTTGTTGTACTCTTGCTCAATTTGTTATTTTATGGTGTCCAGATCACACAATAGATTTTCCCTTGCCTTCTCTTCCCTGATTACCCGTGAATCCGTGAGGGGATTGCTATTAATATTTGTTGGGTTCCCCTTCACTTTCCCGGTTGCCTTCTTCTGCCATCTGCTGTCCGCGGGGGGGGAAATGTCTGTTTTTTTGACAAACGGTGTCTGGTCTGCGAAATTCCACACCCAGTCTGGTTTGTCTTAATTATCATATAAAAAACATCCATCATAACAGGGGTCAAACACGAACCATATGTCGGGCGCATCTTCCACTTCTACCAACATGTTCGGTAGTAGCTTCCGTTCGTTTGCGTGTTTCGGGAACTTGGGGCAGGTGGGATCAGTTCCCAAGTGACCTCGTTCTCTGCAACGAAAACAAATCAGCGAGGTCCTGGTTGATATCCTTACCTCCACCACTCTGCTTTCTATTTGGAATTTCCAGACTGATGGAAACATTGGGGGGCATCTGTTTGTACATCCAGGATCGCGATCATGGTTCCGCAGTGAGGGGCCAGGAACTCCGGCGTTGGTAGAATCCATTTGAGGACTTTATTCGTTGTGTACTGCCTTTCAAGTCTGTCGACCAGTAAACCATGGAATCCAGGTTGAATGATCAAATCGAACCCAAAAGTTCTCTTTCAGCAGGGTCTGTTTGACACTACAAAGACTGGGTTTTGTCTTTGCGCTGACACCTTCTTCCATTTGGTGATGGTACACACTAAACCATGACAGTTTTTGGATCGCATCTCAGGCGCGATTCGTGCATGATTTTCGTGAATGAAGACTACCATAATGTTGTTGCGACCCAAATTCTGCAGTGTGTAAGTATCTCCAATCTGCTTGAGTTTCGGTTCCTTTTTGATAGTTTCGATTATCCACTTCCTCTTTTCTGCTGGCTGGAGATCTGCCCCATGGCGTGTAAAATTGAAGACTACCCCATACCCCATGTCTTTCATGCAGATCATCCAATTCAGCAATCCTTTCCTCCGGGTATATCCAGATAACCACCTCCTCTTCCTTTTCGTCTACTACCTGTTCTCCCGTGGACTCGATCCCTTGAACTTTCGTCTTCTCCATTAGGAATTTGAGGGCTTCGTTGTCAATGATATTGATAGTGCTTTCCGGTGCCTCCTGGTCTGTGGGGAACGTGGTTGGCGTTGGGGTAACCATCTTCCTCTTTCCAGTGGCTTCGACCCTGTCTCGTTCAATTGTTGCTGTCTAGTCCGTCACACCCTTATGGAGGGTGCAAGAGGAAGGGAAGAGGGGACCAAAAAAAAAGAGGGAGGGGGGGGGGGGGGGGGGGGGGGGGGGG